AACACATACATTATAAAGATAAAGAATTGAGAACGTGTAGTAAGTTGCACCAATATTTTAACGGGAAGACACGGCATTTGAGTACTTCACACTCTCCAAACACAGTATCTCCAACACTTTGTAACAAAGTATTCAAGGTGCAAAAACCTCTGACGTATTAATCCAAATACTATAAGTACAAATGAGTAGAACAGATAGAGTTGGATGGAAAAATAACGGATAATAAAGTACAATATATATGTAACCTTAATTCTATTTCCACTTATTCTGTTCAATCGTGGCATGGAAAACATATTTGAAAATGTCTTATGATGGGTAGGCACACTTGTTATATTAATTCATTGTCTTATTGTTAAAATAAAAATAACTGAGTTTTTTAGCGTCTGATGAAGGGGATAAACCATACACTAGTGGGATATATACTCAATGTTGCGATAAATAGACATTCTCACATATATGTCATTGCGGAGACCTATAACAGATTTAATATTTAAATTGAGAACATATGTATAATCCGTCATAAGCTTAGCATTATTGTACATTTCATTGGCAAAATTAATTTCCAATTTTTTGTAGATAGAACGTTTTGGAGATTTTATGAGATTCTTACATGCTATTCCCCTATGTCTAAATAACGATATATTTGTTCCATTAATTACATAAAATCTTCAATGCTGTGCACTTTGGAAACACTCTGGCTAAAGGTAGAACGCTATCCAAAAAGTAGTCAGATTCTTTATTTTCTCATATTTGATATAATATAAGAATGAAGAAAATATAATTAAAATATAAAACTCCATACTCAGTTAAGAAAAAATCGATTACAAACATACAGTGGAAATAGCATGTTTTGTCTGTTTCACTGTACACCACTGTTTCCTGTGTGGCAATATTTAAAATAATTACTCGGTGACATATAGTGAAAAATATATAATGTCTTACATGATACGTTTTGGTTTCTAAAATTTAAAAAAAATGACAATATGTTTAGTGGATTTTTACGGGAAAATATGTGTTCATTGTCTCCTATGGAAAACGCTGCATGTTACGCATATCATTTTACGGGATTTCTATAAAAAAAAACACAACAGATTGGCGGTGAACCGAAAATGCCCACATACCAATACGGAAACAATTGATTATAGACAGAAATATAAATAGACACGGAGTATTGCCATTGCTAAATGTGCACATTTAAAAAACCCCGACAACAACTGACTAGTAGCGAGCTACCTTAAGAGATAACTTTTCAATGTCTCATAAAACTCATCTAGTTCAACGACCCCTTTCCGTTTCCGTTGTACTAATTGTATATGATAATTGCATTATATACATACCATATGTGGCACTGCACTGTACATGAAAATTTAATTGTGTTTATGACGAAACCACCATTTACCAAGTCCCACGTCTGATTACTGATAGTATACATCATAAATAATATAACTATGATTGGTCCACTTCGCTGCACTTACCGTCGATGAATTCTTAATATAAATGTCCGTAATTACACTGGTTATAAGTACTGTAAAACATGTATTTTTAGCTAGCATGGTATTTTAGCTAATATAGCTAATCTGTAATTTCGCTAATTCAAAATGTCACTAATTTAAAATAAAGTATATTCTCATAATGAAATTGTTAGCACTTTAGCTAAATTAAGATTCAGTTAATTCATGCGTGGAGTCAAATTTGCTAAAATGACATGTTGCTATTTAAGCATGTTTTTCAGTATCACGTCTGGTAAAGTTAAAGGCAAAGCCGATGTACAAATTCCACCGACCAATAAATATAATAAATACTATTAATCGAAATTCTGAGACTCAGAAGAGAAGAAAGTCGGAAATCACATAAAATGCTGTGAAAACGTGCGTTTGATTCAGACATACTTCTGCGAGACGAGACTGAGATACATGTTAATCATTATGACTGATATTATATATACTTTCCATTATCCAATAGACGTACAACGAATATTAAAACCAGGACGTGCTATACACAACGCCGCTCAACACGTCTGATTGTATGAAAACAGGTAAAAACGGTAGCAGAGCAGTTTACGATACGATGTAGTTGAGATAACGTCGAAGCATAAAAATTGAGTGTACGTCTCAGAAAACTGATATCTGAATCATTGTCAGAATGTTGAAAGCAAAGTTATTGAACGAATAATCCAAAATATACCACGTTTATATTATATTAATTCCATACCCGGGGTGCGTACTGATTATAGATGAGACAAAAAAACATTTTTGTATTATTTTCAATATGTTAATAAAAAGGGGGGAAACCTATTGATCGTGACTGAATATTGGGTTACGCATTTACATAGAAACCATATATGTTCTGTGAAATTAAAAATCGCAAAACGATATATTCAAAGAATTCATATATTTTCGCATTTTTATTGCTCATGCCACTATTTATAACACTATGAGAAACGAATTCGAAATTTTGAAGGATTGCCAAGGCGATGTATGATTTATATCGATGACTACTGTATTGTAGACAAGAGTTATTGTCTAGCAAATTAATTAGAGTAGTGCCGTTCATTGGGATATTCATCAATATGGACGATATTCTGTTTTATGATACAAAATTATATATATTTTTAAATAAATGGGCCAATGATTATGCAATAGTTATTATATTCAGGAGAGCTTCCAGTAAACGCAGCTGACAATGCATTATCGTGTTTTATTTTTTTATATTGCTTGAAAAACAAAACAACATATCTCAAAGATAATTATTGATAACATGCAATTCCACGCAGGATATATCTTTTGATCATACTCTGTCACCATTTTAAACTGAAAAAAAAATGGTAAGTTATCTTTATCAAAAGAACCCTGTCGTAACAAGGTTTCATAACTAACCACATGTCTGCCACTACTCAAGTCATAAAGTTTTAAGCACAAATGTCGTCACATATAGTCTCAGATTACAGTAAGGTTGAGGTTTGGATATATTTGTTATATTTCCACTTTTGGATAATGTTCTTCCTTGAACATTATAAAACATTACCTTAACAATTCTTCCAAATACCTATGTCAAGCCCGCACGAAAAACATATATACGAAATATATACTATTCATATTAAAATGGGATTAAGGCTGGAAATCCTGAGACAATTCACGAAACATGAAATTAGTGGAGTGTATCGAACGTTAGATGTAGGAAAACATACGTATGAAACGTGATTTCTGTTTCACATATCACTCCAGTGATTCTGACTCGGTTCAAGTTGGGGACAAATCATCATTGACACTGTACCAGCGTGATGTACACCGTGCGCAGAGGGAGAAAAATCAACAAAGTATCGAGGCGTATCTTATCGTACTGGGAAGTGTGGGGATTACAGCAAGAATAATGAAGTTCAAATACGTTATCTTGAGAAAAAAGACCGAAAATTGTACCTCATTGACAGCGGAAATTGACTACACAATTCAGAGTTTAGTAGTACTCGCGACCACCGCCTTTTAATATTCGTATTCATGTAAAACGATATTGGGTCAACGAGGGTCTATTTCTTTTTTTCATTGTAGTATGCTTTTTGGTTTATGATGTATCGTGAACTTAAAACATTGTTTTGTAGCAATGTTCAGTATTCACCAAAACCAACGTTTTTCCTATCTGCCAATTGATCACATTTAAAGCGCGGTGGTCGTCGCGCAGCGCTTGTTCGAATTTCTTGTAAATAAACAATGTATTTTACACGCGTTGTATACGTCGCTATGAGTCCCATATCGATCAGGACGCGGCGCGACGACTACCGCCCTTTAAGGTTAAATCGCGAGTATTGGCTGTATAATTTATATTTAGAATTGTTTTCAAGTATGTCATACATGACCTATCACAGATATTTGTTATTACGTAAAAAAACAGAACCTTTTGAGCAGTTAAGACCTCATGATATTCGTCGCGGATAAAATACATTGTTTGTTTGCGTGCGATTCCTACGATCGCTACGTGAGCAAACATAACTGAGAATCTTCCAAGGGATATTGTTGCGATGAAATTGAAGGAGATAACAGTTTTCACGATCGGTTTATTTTGTCGCCCGCTGTAGGTCTATATCTTAAACTGCTTTATGCGTTATGAATGTGTGTGTATATATATAATGTCTACTTTTCTGTTCCGGTCAAACATCACCGATTTTTATTAATATTTCACGTAGCGTCGTGCTACTGTGAGTTCTGTTTCTTGTATATTTGATAGCAATGTGTCAAATTTACATGCGGATAAGGGGTCTCTCTAAACAGGTTTCCACTGCACCTAGGGAGACATGAAACTTGTACTAATAATGAAAATCGACAAGTGTAGTTGAGTAAAACCAGAACCAAAGTGTACACTCGGTGTATACGGAGGAAATTAGAAGATTTAGAAAGCTAATGGTAGCTTTTATCCCTTATGATATAATTTAATTTGATGTTCACAGAGAGGGTTTTTATTAAGGGGCGAAGTGACAAAAGCAATCGGTAAATTATGTGGAAATCTCATACATTTTGGCCTCAAATGTCATTAATGTGTCGGAAGAGGACTTTTGTTTGATGACAAACACAGGAAACATGCATACGAATTAATTACACGGTGTTCGTCTAATGTATTTGTGTATCGATTCACCGAGTTTTAAAAATTTAGATCAGAGTGTTCATTTACGAAATATCCGTACAATGTTCAGATGGGCTTTCGTCATTATCGTCGGCGGACAAAAACTGGGACTATAGAAACACTGTTGAAAAGCATCAGAATTAACAAACTCTGAAAAAAAATGATTATTTAAAATAGGTTACGCTAATACGATGAGTCATTACGTCACTCCACGCGTCACAAAAAGTTAAAAACATGCAACGCAACAAAGAAAGCAGATGAGTTACCCCTGTGAAACAAATGGAACAGTCTAGTACTGGTTTGGATGCTTTAATGATATATGTTAAAATATTGAAGAATAGGTCGTTTCTGAGATGAGCGGCCTTAAAGTTGTTACTACCCGGATCTAGCGAGCATTCTTGTAACAGACACGGAGAGCGAAACATCGTAATACTACTCACCTAGACGTTCAGTGTCTTGTCACATCTCTCAAAGGTAAGTGAAATACCGTTTTGCGTTATTTCATATATTGATACAAATATGTGCTAATATGACCACTATTCATATTTCATTTCGGTGTGGTGTTTAATATTATAATGTTAAATGTTTGCATTAAACTGCGCAATCAACGTTCCACGAACAGAGCAAAATAATTGAAAACTAGTTTGACATGTTCCTTCGTATAACGTATTGTTGGTAATCACGTGACAAATGAACATATTTCTAGTATTCCACTTGAATTTTAACTACTTTGGTTTTGTTAGTCTAATCGTTTTCCGTAATGTTTTTACATTCATTCCTAATCTCTTGTCTGTCGGTAATGGTGCGACATTCGACGTGAGGCTATTGCCTAACAAGATGACTAGTGACCCCCTTCGCTTTCTGGTTTGAGTCATGCCTGCATGAACGCAGTAAATTATACCCCAATCGGACTCACTTGAATAAACTCATTCGGTGTGTTTAAAAATGTTACTTACTTCAAACGACCAAAGCTGCCGGAAAATTATGATCGTAAATGTTTAAATTCCAATTATTTGTACATTCTGCCGAAAAGAATGTTTGAATGAAACCACTTATATTAAGGCCAATATTTGGAGGCTTCGAAGTACTTATTGTGAACAGGCTTATAATTACTGTAACGCAGCTTTCATCAGTCCAAGTGCAAAGTTGGCGGATGCGGATTTGAGTCAAAACTACAAGGCAGATGCGCTGGAACTTTTTTCGAGCGCATCTGATAGCAGTCCTGCGTTTAATTGTTATTTATGTGAATCGTAATCAGGCAAAATGATGAAGTGTCCCAATACAGTAAAATGACTGATTAATAGTTTTACGGTTTTAGATCTTCTGGGATTAATTTGTATATTGTTGAAATATAGTCGGGGTGTTGTGCACATTCTTTAAGTATTCGTTAATAGTGTGTGATCTCTATCGTACATAGTTGCTGTAAACCCGAATAATGATTTTTTATTTGTGGGAGTTTTCCGCATTAAATCTGTGGGACTATTTTTATTACCTCTTGAAAACTGGACGAAGTTTACAATAGTATTATTCACACAATATCATCTATACTATTGGTAAAGTTGGTAAATGTTAAATATAAACACTTCGGTAGTTAACCCCCCCCCGAAGAGAAATATAGGCAGTTGTTTCCACAGCGACTCCGTTCTTATTTGGTAATCGTCCGATGTTTACTTATATGAGCAAGCAAATAACCATTTTTGCATTCGATAATGCAAAACAAAACATGTCAAGCACACTACTCCGTTTTTTATTGCGCATTAGTGAGTACTAGAACAATCCCCCTAATGTATAAGCGTGTATGTCTAATGACCGTGAACAATCAGTTTCACTCTCGTTGTATCAGCAATCCGCCTTCGGATCGAATAGTTTTCCATTCTCTCGACAGTTGCAGATACGGATGCCTGATGTTTTTATTGAAGCCGATCATGTTTTATCGTTGAGCATGTGTATCACTGCATCGTAATAATATGAGAAATCAATGTGCTCTCAATTCACAACGTAGTGCGCGTTCCGGAACAAATGCTTTTTACAACTGTTGTATATTACGCATGGGACCTATATGACCATGCGCAGTTAAAGTTTGGATAATGCAGTGCGCTTTCTAAATAGTCCTTATGAATAACCTCAAATGCACCCCTCGTCTGGAAAACCGGCTATACATAGTAATTGATAATTTGGAGATACATCATACCTTTATCAAAATATAAAAAAGAAATTATATAAGACTAGACATCTCTGTTTCAATATCGCGTGCTCGTGAAGTCGCTGTGCAGTTTCTACGTTTTCGCGGCATCCTGAATGTCCAGGCAGAACTACCGACTTATCAAATTTGTTTAATCCGTCTGACATATTTTCTAGAACATTCCAAGTCTGGTAATTCAATCCTTAAAATCTGGCAAAAAAAAAATACCAAAAAGAATCAGTGAGTTCGACATCATTTCTTGAACATTCAACAAGTTTGGTAATCCAATCCCAGAAATCCGGAAAACGAGGATTATCAAAAGGGGAAGGCGGAGTCCGATATCATCCCCAGAACAATGTAGATTTGGTAATCCATTCACAAATACTCAAAACGAGGATTATAAAAAAGATTAGTGAGTCCGATATCATTCCAAGAACAATGCAGATTTAGTAATCCATTCCCCGAAATCCGGAGGGTATTAACAATTTTAAAATATTCGCGAAACTTTAACAGTCATAGTTATTTTTCGAAGTAATCTACAATATTTTTCTAATTATCAAATCAGTAAAGCCCGGACTTTTATTTGTTTCTAATGGACTTAGAATATATGCTTTACATTACATGTATATTGATGAAGATTCGCATAAAATGTCTTCTCACTTCAATAAATATGGCTTCGATTATTCAGAAATGTTAACAATGTAAAGTCAAGTATCCGAATATAAATTGTATTTATTTTGTTATTGAATCTGTGTTTCGTATCTAAATCCTTGGTTGAATACGTCAGCGACTTGCACAAAACAAATGTTGTTTCACCAAGTTGTACCTACCCGTATTTGCCTCAAAAGTGACAGTTTGCAGGCTCAGTGTGATTTCGCGGTATAATAAACATGTAACTGCTGAATTATGGCGTGATAGACAGGATATAGAATGAATATTTGAGTTACTAGGACACAATAAGATACAAACTAATGGTGAAATTGTAACGTACTAGGTCAAACGTATCACGTGACAATGTAATGGTGTGGACGCTCAGCACAAACGGATGAAAACAAAAAACAACACACAACAAACGTAATTACTATAGTGCGACCAATTACGCCAGAGACTAATTATTGCGCAATTTTAATAAATTATTAAATCACGTTTTCACTCCCGTACAAAATTTAAATGGTATTACAACAGCTTTGCATTTGTTTTCACAGCAGCACATATCAAAGAACCCGGATGAGTGCTATGTGAGAATAGTAGTTTTTTTTTTCATTACACGTATATAAGCAAAGTCCGGTTTTAAATAATATGACGAGTTCCGTCTTAATTTCCGACTTCAATATATGAAACAATCCGGTTCGTAGCTGCTGGGAATAAAAGTACTTGCGCATAAATTTAAAGGGCGGTGGTCGTCGCGCCGCGTGCTGTTCGACATAGGACTCACAGCGACGTATACAACGCGTTTAAAATACATTGTTTGTTTACATACCATTCGAACATGTACTGCGCGATGACCACTGCCCCTTAAATCTGATCACATCGGTTACCAAATATTTTCCAATTAAAATACTGCTATAAACTTTTTTCACATTTTCAGCAATAACCCTAATTTCGACGGCAATTTTAAATAAAACGACAAGAATTTGATGTTTGTTACTGATTCTGATCAATTGATTTGAAAATAATTGATTTTCAAGATGATATTAAATTAACAGCAGGCAAAACATTCGTTCAGTTAGGAAGTCTTCGTTTTTTTTATTATTATTTGGCTGTGCAAGCCTTTGTAACCACAGGTTATGAAAACGTATCTGAATACTACAAGCACGATAGGAGAGTAATACTACTTAAATATTTATTTCTATCCACAACAAAATCTATTCACTTTCGCGGGATGAAACTGATATTAGACATCATACTTACATATTGGTGGCGAAAAGCGCATAACTGTAACTAGATCAACTTCAACTACCTATGTTCATAGCTCTCAGTTTTGATTTTGACAAGGTGGTAACAATTTTGATATTATTCCTGTTACATATTATAAAACATGCTTTGCTTTCCTGTGCCGACCCCGGGCATGTAGCAGTACTGGCCGACCACAAAATATAATAAATAACGCATGCGCTTTGAATTTCTTGAACGCACTGTTTAATTTAGTAATTGCGTGCGCATTAAAATTGTCCAATATATCATCTATATCTTTGCCGTGCTGCTAAAACAACTTTAATTTTAGTTTTTGGCGTAATTCATCGGCGCATGCGCTTTGAATTTCTTGTACGCACTGTTTAATTTAGTAAGTGCGTACGCACTCAAAAAATGTCCAATATATCACCTATATTTTTGGCGTGCTGAATAAACAACTTATATTTTAGTTTATGGCGTGATTCATCGACTAATATTTCACACAACATGACTACATTCACCCTAAATCTATTCACATTGTCTATTTAAGGTAGCGTTGGTACTGCTAAATTGAATTATGTTGTTGGACATGATGAAATATATTATTTATGCAAATAATTTTGTGAACTGTACTGTACTGTATGTACCACAGCCCGAGTAAACTCCGCGTGGATTCTTTACATAATTACCAAATCCTCGTTTCCTCACATTTTCAATTATTTAAAATTTGCACATCGGGGGAAGGGGATAGTGGAATCTAAAATATATATATATATACACAGAGGAAATGTTGATACAAATCTACAGGGAAAGTTATACAGAAAAAAACAAACAAATGAAAAAATCTCACACATGCAACTCTCGCAATATTACGCGTGAACAAGAATTGGTAAATTAAGAGTGAAGGACGAGTAATTACAGAATCATTGTTTTTTTACGATTTCATTTCCCAAGACACAG